GAGGTCAGCGGGCTGCAGCTGGAGCGGCTCGCCCGGCGGACGAGCTCGACCATCCCGCTGGAATTCTTCGACGACGTCTCCTACGACTGCCGCGGGCCGGAGGAGTGGATGCGGATCGCGGAGGGGAATCCAAACCCCGCCGCGCGGTTTCTTCCCGCCGAGGGCGTCTTTTTCGACGCGGAGGCCGGGACCTACGCGATGCGGCCGTGCCGTGTGTTTGGGTGGAATGTGGAGACCAACGAGCTGCTCGTGCGCTGGGGTTCCGTCAGCCCTTCGTATCAGGCAAACGGCGCCGCGGTGGCGGAGGGGGAAAAGGGAGCGCAAGAAGAGGAGCCTGCGGTGCCGATCCATCGCATTTTCGTCCGCCTTCTCGCGGAGGACCCCATTGTCTACGTCCAGCGTCTGGTGAATGCGCATTATCAACGGGAGAAGGCGATGGCGTGGATTCTCTACTACCTCTCCTGTGATGCGATGCCGACCACCGATTTGCCGGACCTCACCGACGGCCTGCGGGAGCGGCTGCTGCGGTTGGGAACGGGCATCCCGCAGCTCAGCGAGGCTGTCTTCCCGGGCGTCGAGCAGCACGCGGAGCAGCTGATTCAGGAGATTCTTCTGGAGTGGAAGCGCAGCCATAACCGGGTGATGCTGCAGGATTTGATGAAGCGCAACCACAGCGTGATGCGGATGGTGGAGCGCTCAACACGGATGAACCTGACGGAGTTGGTGAACGGCCCGAACGTGTCGGTCGCCCTCAGTGAGCTTGGGGATCCGGCGAAGATCGTCGACGTCGGGTTCGACTTCAAACGACGCGAGCGGTCGTTTATTTTCTCGACGTACTTTACGCAGCCAGAGGTGGTGACCGCCCTGACAGGGGTCCGACGTGAGTGTATGAAGGTGCTCGAGCAGAGCTTGTTTGACCTCCCAACGGAGCGGCAAATGCCTTTGGAGGTATTCCAAAAACGCCAAATGGCGCGCATCAACCACGTCGCGAATTACCTGAAGCACGAGTGGTTAGATAGCGTGGGAAGGGTGATCAAGGAAAGCTTTCAGACCGCATCGAAGGGGTGGCTTAATCTGAAGGAATCCAAACAGGGGATTTATGAAATGTCCAAACTCAAGAAACTCTTCACAACCGTTCGGCTCATGATGGAGGATACCCTTTTCGACTTTGTCTACTCCTCGTTACAGTCGTTCATCACCTTTTTCGAGGAGGTCTCCGACTTCACTGTGTTTGTGGTGAATATGAATTGCGTGAAAAACACCTGGCCTGGCAGCGACGCCGATGACTGCATTGAAAAGCAACCCCTCTTCACCATTAATCTTATCGAGAAGGATGGTCGCTTCGCGTATGACATCTCCGCCAGGGATTTCGAACGGCATGTGATTAACCTCTTTGATCAGGCGATCCTCTGCACGGAGGCCGTTCCGCAGGTCGAGCGCTACGTAATGACGCAGTACTTCTGGCGAAATGACAGCGAAGGGCCTTTTTTGGATTCGGTGAAATTGGAGGATGAGCGTGTACAGTGGATGCGGGAGCGGGTGCGCCGCTCGATTCAGTCCTCGCTCACGCCCTTGCAGGAGTACCTGAGCACCTATGACGAGCTCCTCCCCTTGATCCGCCTCAACGAGAACGACTTTATTCGGGATTATACCGCGGAGGAGCACACCATCGAGGAGTCCAAGGAGGAGATCATCAAGCATCTGAAGGCCAAGAAGGTGGTGGCGGAACGTATTCCGCCTTACCTGGCGGTCGGCAACTTTGTGGTGAACAGCCAATCCTTTGGCTCGCTCATGGCGAAGAAGGAGGATAACCTTGCGAAACTTATTATGGGCAGTATCAGTAAACAGAACCGGAAGCGCGCCATCTCGATATGTGAGGAGTTCAACAAAATTAGCCGTGTCCTGGCGAAGGAGCCCCAGACGCCGGAGAAGCTCTTTGAGTTGTACAGCTTCATAGCGAACATCGGGGAAAGTGTACAGAATCTCACGCAGCAGATTGAGGGCATGCGGCAGTGCTACGCCGTTCTCGAGAGTTTTCAGTTTGCCCTGACGGACGATGAATCCTGCCATAAATGGCAGGCGATTGGCTGGCCGAGGCGCCTCGCGCTCACCATATCTGCCACCAAGAAGCAGCTCGGCCTCATCGAGAAGGAGCTCTACGCGCGCCTGCAGAAGCAACAAGACGTCTTCTCGACGCGGGTGGAGAAGCTGCAGCGCGTCGTCGCGACTTTTTCCAAATACACGCAATCCAACCAAGCCGACAAGGTCGTCGCGGACGTGAAGCGAAACAACATCGAGATTCGGCAGTGCATCGAGGAGGCGCGCGCGATCAACAGCGATCAGCGGCTGTTTGGCGATCGCCTGACGGACTACCGCAGCGTGTTCGAGTTAGACAAAGAGTTTAAACCCTATAGCGACCTCTGGCTAACAACGTATACCTGGCAAGAAAGCTATCGACGCTGGCATACCGACGCCTTCGAGACGTTGGATCCCGATGAGATCGAGCACACCACCGCGACGGCGTACAAGACGTTAACGAGCCTCACCAAAGTCTTCCGGGATAAGGCGGGAACGCTGCGGATGGTGGAGGAGATGCGTGCGCTGGTGGAGCGGTTTAAGCCGTGGGTGCCGGTCGTCGTGGCGTTGATCCACCCTGGCATGAAGGAGCGCCATTGGGAGGGTCTTTCGGAGAAGCTGAATATGAAGCTGAAGCCAGGGGATACGATTAATGTGATGGAGGACTGCCTGCCTCTGTTAGCGCACAAGGACGTCGTTGTCAGCCATTGCGAGGTCGCCGCAAAGGAGCTGCAGATCGAGAAGGCGCTCAAGGATATGCGGGCGAAGTGGGAGAGCAAGTCTTTTGTGGTGGATCCCTACAAGGATACCGGCTCTTTCGTGCTGAAGGACACCCAAGAGGTGATCGAGCTGCTCGACGAGCACCTGAACCTGACGCAGCAGCTGCAGTTCTCCCCTTTCAAGGAGTATTTCAAGGAGAGCATCACGGACTGGGAGCGCTCCCTCAACCTCATCTCGGACGTCCTCGAGCAATGGGTGGAGTGCCAGCGGGCGTGGCGCTACCTGGAGCCGATCTTCTCCTCCGACGACATCGCCGTGCAGCTTCCACGGCTCTCGAAGCTGTTTGAGAAGGTGGATAAGACCTGGCGGCGAATCATGAACGCCACCCACAACCAAACCAACGTCCTGGAGGTCTGCCTGGGCACCAATAAACTCTTAGATAACCTGCGCGAGTCGAATCGCATCCTGGAGGAGGTGCAACGGGGCCTGAACGAGTACCTTTCAGAGAAACGCCAGAGTTTCCCTCGCTTTTACTTCCTTTCCGACGAGGAGCTTTTGGAGATTCTTTCTCAGTCCAAGGAGGTGCGGCGTATCGACAACAACATCGCCAAGCTCTTCGAGTTTATCTGCCGCTTAGAGTGGAATGCAGAGGACGAGGTGATCGGATTCTTCAGCAGCGATGACGAACACATCCCCGCCGTGGCGCCGGTGAAGACCGAGGGCAACGTGGAGAATTGGCTTAAATCCATTGAATCCATGATGAAGAAGGCGGTGCACCACCAACTCGAGTGCTCCTTTCTGGATTATCCTAAAAAGAGGCGATCGCAGTGGGTTCTGACGTGGCCTATTCAGGCCGTCATCGCGATTTCTCAGGTGTACTGGACGCAGGGGTGTGAGCAGGCGCTTACGCATACCGGAAGCGTCGACAAGCTCTATCACGTGCTTGATAAGCATCTGTACGAGCTGGTCGATGTCGTGCAATCGCCCCTGACGCCCGTTCAGCGCATCAACATGGGCGCCTTAATCACCATCGAAGTCCACGCCAAGGATACGGTGGAGGGGATGTTGGAGAAAGGGGTGTCGAGTATCGCTTCCTTTGATTGGGTGAAGCAGTTGCGCTTTTACTTCAATCTGACGGACCGGTTTTGCCATATTAAGCAAGTCGACGCGCACTTTATTTATGGCGGAGAGTACCTCGGAAATACCGGACGTCTGGTTGTTACCCCGCTCACGGATCGCATTTACCTCACCCTCACGGGGGCCCTCGCGCTCTGCCTTGGTGGGGCCCCAGCAGGCCCTGCCGGTACCGGAAAGACGGAGACCACCAAGGATCTCGCCAAAGCGCTCGCGAAGCAGTGCGTGGTTTTCAATTGCCAGGAAGGCATGACGTACCTTTCCATGGGGAAGTTTTTCAAGGGCCTCGCCTGGACAGGCGCCTGGGCGTGTTTCGACGAGTTCAACCGTATCGACGTCGAGGTGCTCTCCGTGATCGCGCAACAGGTGACGGACCTCCAGCAAGCCTGCCTCACCAAACAGTACCGCATCATTTTTGAGGAGAGCGACATTGAGGTGGATCCCACGCACGCGATCTTCATCACGATGAACCCCGGCTACGCCGGCCGCACGGAGCTGCCGGATAACCTCAAGGTTCTCTTCCGCCCCGTCGCGTGCATGGTGCCGGACTACGCCATGATCGGTGAAATCCGTCTCTTTTCTTATGGCTACAAGAAGGCGAGAATCCTCGCGCAGAAGATGGTGATGACTTTCAAACTCAGCTCCGAGCAGCTCTCCTCGCAGGATCACTACGATTTTGGGATGCGCGCCGTGAACAGCGTGATATCCGCCGCCGGGATCAAAAAGCGCGAGAACCCGAACAGCGATGAGGACGTTCTGCTGCTCAGCGCCCTACGTGACTCCAACGTGCCGAAGTTCCTCAAAGGGGATATCGAGCTCTTCGAGGGGATCATCAGTGATCTCTTCCCGGAGGTCGCGCTCCCGCAGACGAACTACGGCGCGATGGTGGCGACCCTACAGAAGGTGGTTACGGAGCACATGCATCTCCAAGCCATCCCCGCCTTCGTCGAGAAGTGTCTGCAGCTCTACGACATCACCATTCTCCGCCACGGCCTGATGCTTGTCGGCCCTGCGGGGAGCGGAAAGAGCTCCGTTTATCGCGCGCTCCAAACCACCCTCTCCGACTGCGCGGTTCGACAGGCGAAGGGCGAGGATCTCGGCCCACGGGAGTTCATGAAGGTCTACACCCACCTCTGCAACCCCAAGTCCGTCACGATGGATCAGCTCTACGGCGCCTACGACGAGAACGGGGAGTGGCGGGATGGCATCCTCTGCGTTCTCTTCCGCTGCGCCGCGCGCTACGGCGATGAGGGGACGCTGCTGGGGAAGCACTGGGTGATCTTTGACGGCCCCGTCGACGCGCTCTGGATTGAGTCCATGAACACGGTGCTCGATGATAACAAGAAGCTCTGCCTCGTCTCGGGCGAGATCATCCAGATGAATCGCGATATGACGATGATGTTTGAGGTGGAGGATCTCGCGGTAGCCTCTCCCGCCACGGTTTCTCGTTGCGGGATGATTTACATGGATCCGACCTCGTGCGTGCCCGTTTCGGCCTCCATCGCCTCCTGGGTGGCGTCGCTGCCGTCCTACATGGCGAGCCAGGCCGCCAGCCTGGAGGCGCTGATCATGTGTTACCTCCCCAGCCTCATCACCTTCGTGCACGGCGAGCTCCAGGAGTATGTGGCCTCCACGACCAGTAATCTGGTCTTTTCCTTTCAAAAAATGATGAATGGCTATATCCAGAGCTTTGAGGACGCCTTCAAGGTACCGATTGGGGCTCTCGCTGGGGCTCAGAGCCCGGCCCCACAGGTGAACAACCAACCCCAGGAGTTGCTCGTGGAGATCGTTCCCCGACTGTTTATTCTTTCCCTCGTGTGGAGTGTGGGCGCGACCTGTAACGAGGACGCTCGGGAGCGTTTTGACCAGACGCTTCGCGCGATGGCGGCGGAGCATAATCACACGGACTACCTCCCCCCCGCCTCCGGGGAGCGGGATAACACCGTGTATGACTACTGCTATCAATACCAGGCCGCCCTGGGCGCGCTCTCGCATCCGCCCGCGGACGACGCCGTGATCACGCCGGAGTGGGTGCACTGGCAGGATATGCAGCCGGAGTTTGAGGTTTCGCGTGGCACGAACTTTGACGACATCATCGTCCCCACGATTGACAACACGCGACAAAACTACATTCTCCGACACCTTCTGTTGCAAAAGGCGAATGTGGCGGTGATTGGGCCGACCGGCACGGGGAAGTCCGTTTCCGCGTTAAAGATGGTGCTGGGCGGGGAGCTGCCCAACACCTTCCTCGGCCTCACCTTCACCTTCTCCGCGCAGACCAAAGCAGGGGCCTTGCAGGGGTCGCTGATGGCGAAGTTCGATAAGCGGCGTTCCCGTGTGTATGGCGCGCCGACCGGGAAACATTTTCTCGTCTTCATCGACGACGCGAATTTACCACAGCCGGAGCGATACGGCACGCAGCCCCCTTTGGAGTTGCTTCGACAGCTCCTCGGGCATGGTGGGTTCTATTCCTTGGTCGGTGGCATCCGCTGGAATACGATCATCGATACGTCGCTGATCCTCGCGATGGGCCCGCCAGGGGGGGGTCGCGCGCACGTTTCAAACCGGTTCATGCGCTTTTTCAACTACTTGTCGTTTCCAGACATGTCCGAGACCTCCAAGCGGCTCATCCTTAGCACCATCCTCTTTAGTGGGTTTGCGCATCAAGGCGTTGATGGAAGCATTCAGGAACTGGGAAGTAACATCGTGGAGAGCACGCTGCGCGTTTTCAAGCAGTGCAGCAAGATCTTCTTACCGATCCCGGCGCATGTTCACTATTCCTTCAACATGCGGGATGTGATGCGGGTCTTTCCGATGCTGTACTCCAGCGATGAAAGGACGGTGAAATCGAGGGAGGAACTATTGAGGAAATGGATACACGAGATGCAGCGTGTCTTTAGCGACCGACTGATCAATGATGAGGATAAGGACAAATTCACTCAGATTCTCACGAACGAAATGCGCGAGATGGGGTTCACGGAGGACTACGAGGACTTTATTGGGGCCAAGCGTCTTATTTTCGGCAATTTTATGGGCACCCATCGGGGTTATGAGCAGATCACTGACATGTATGCCTTAACTCGACGCTTTGATGAACTTTTGGCAACGTACAACGAAGAAAACGAGAATCGTATGGATTTGGTTCTCTTTTTGGATGCTATCGAACACGTATGCCGTATTTTCCGAGTCTTGTGTATGCCAAACGGGCATTGTCTCCTCCTCGGCATAGGCGGATCCGGCCGCAAGTCTCTCACGCGCCTGGCCTGCTATTTGATTCCCGAGATGGAGATCTCCACTGTTGAGATTACGAAGAACTTCGGGGCCAATGAATGGCACGAAAACTTAGCCAAATTGCTTTTGGAATGCGGAAAGAACGATAAGAAGCGCACTTTTCTTTTCTCTGACACCCAAATCGTGCATCCCGTCTTCCTGGAAGACGTCGCCGCGTTGCTAACCTCCGGCGACGTTCCCAATTTGTTTGAAGACCAGGATCTGGAGCTGATCAACGAAAAATTTCGCGGCATCTGTATTAGTGAGAACCTACCGACCACCAAGGTCTCCATCTACGCGCGTTTTGTGAAGGCGGTGCGGGCCAACCTCCACGTTGTGTTAGCCTTTTCCCCCATTGGGGACGTGTTTCGGACGCGGATGCGAATGTTCCCCTCACTCATCGCGTGCTGTACGATCGACTGGTTCGCTGAGTGGCCGGCCGAGGCCCTTCTCTCCGTTGCCCGGGCGCATCTCGCCCATAGCATTCAGCCCGGGGAGGAAAAGAAACCTCGTCGGCGCTCCAGCATCGCCGAAAACGTCCCGAAAGGCGTCTCCGATGCGACCGAATGCTTCAAGATGTTTCATTTGCTCGCGGAGGAGGTGACGGAGCAGTTCTTCGTGGAGACCCGGCGACGTTCCTACGTGACGCCGACCTCCTACCTTTCTTTTCTGGGCGGCTTCAGCGATATTCTGCAGAAGAGACAGCGTAACCTCCACGAGCAACGCTCACGCCTCGAAAACGGGCTGGAGAAGTTGCGCAACACGGAGGAGCGCGTCGCGGAGCTGGAGGCGCAGCTCAAGGCCCAGCAGCCGCTGCTGGAGATTAAAAAGGAGGAGGTGCGCGTGATGATGGAGCGGCTCACCGTGGATCGGCGGGAGGCCGCCTTAAAAGAGGCGGAGGCCCGCAAAGAGGAGGCGGCCGCGTCGGTGAAGGCCGAGGAGTGCGCGAAAATGCGGCGGGAGTGCGCCAATCGTCTCGCCGAAGCGGAGCCCGCCTTGGCCGAGGCGGTGAAAGTGTTGTCGAAGATCAAAGCGTCGGAGATTGCGGAGCTGAATAAGTACCAAAGCCCCCCAAAGGGCGTCCAGTACGTCATGGAGGCGGTGGCCGTCCTCCTGACGCTTGGGAACTGCCCGAAGGAGTACTACACCGGCGCCGCGGGGAGCAAAAAGACGCCCGACTGGTGGATGTGTGCGAAGTCGTACATGAAGGACGCCAACCGCCTTCTAGATACCCTGGTGCAGCCCCCGGAGAAAGGAGGCTTTAACCGTGAGGCGATGGACACCCCGCTGATCGAAAAGATCAAGGTGTACTGCGATAACGAGGAATTTCAGCCGGAGAAGGTCCGTTCGGTCTCGTTGCCGTGTATGGCGATGTGCTTGTGGGTGCGCGCCATGTTTCGATGGTTTTTCGTGAACCGTGAGATTCAACCCCTACGGAAGAAGTTGGAGGCCTCCGAGGCGGAGCTGGCGCGCGTAACTCGTGCGCTGCATCACACGCGATCCGTGTTGGATCACGTGATTGCCGCCGTGGAGGCTCTTGAAAAGGAATACTCCGATGCCATTGTTACCCAGACCGAACTTGAAAATGAGGTGGAGCAGACAAGCCTCAAACTCCAGCGTGCCGCACGTCTCATTGATGGGCTTGGCGGGGAAAAGATCCGCTGGGTGGAACTGGTCGCTCGCTACAATGAGGAAGAGAAATATATTATTGGCGATGTGCTTATTTCAACCGCCACCGTGTCTTATTGTGGGCCCCTCACCGGTCTTTATCGCAATCAGCTGCTCGCCAAATGGAAGGAGACGTTGCGAGCACATAATGTTCATATTAGCGAGGGATGCAGTCTTGTCTCTACCCTGGGGGATCCGGTCCAAATACAAGAATGGCAGCTCAACGGCCTTCCGTCAGATTCGTTGTCGACCGAAAATGCCATTATCATGGCCAACTCACGCAACTGGCCGCTTCTTATCGATCCACAAGGCCAGGGTAACACATGGATTCGAAACATTTACAAAAATAGTAACCTGCAAGTTTGCAAGGCCTCAAATAACCGTTTCATGAAGACAATTGAGCAGGCCATCCGTCTTGGTCTACCCTGCTTGCTAGAAAATGTTGGCGAATCCCTAGATGCCGCCTTGGAGCCGGTCCTCCTGAAAAATGTCTTTCTCATCGGCAGCACTCCACACGTGCGGATCGGCGACAGCGCCATCCCGTACGACTCCAACTTTAGGTTGTATATGACCACCAAGCTGTCTAACCCAACGTACACACCGGAAACCATCGTCTCTGTTTCCTTGCTAAACTTCTTTATCACCTCTAACGGGCTTGAGGAGCAGCTTCTCGCCAAGACGGTGGGGATAGAGCGCAGCGACTTGGAGCAGGATAAGCAAAAACTAACAATCGACAGTGCTAATAAGCAGAAGGAGCTGAAGGAGATCCAGGGCAATATCCTGCGGCTCCTGGAAGAGGCTGAGGGCGACATTCTGGAGCAGGAAGAACTGATTAATACGCTGGAGAGGAGCAAGACCAAGTCTACAGAAATCAATGAGTACCTTCAGAAATCCAAGGAAACGGCGAGGATCATTGACGAGACGCGAAATAAGTACCGACCTCATGCGGAACGTGGTGTGCTTCTGTTCTTTTGCGTTTCGAAGTTATCGACTATCGATTCCATGTGTCAGTTCTCGCTGCAGTGGTTCTTCAACTTGTTCCTACGCGCTGTCAAGGACGCGAAGCCAGCCGAGGATGTCGAACAGCGTGTGGCAAACCTCATGGACTACTTCATGTACTCCTTCTACTACAATGTGTGTCATTCTCTTTTTGAGAAACATAAGCTCACGTTTTCTTTCTATTTGTGCACCGCCGTGCAGCAGCAGCGCGGTGAATTGAATGAAGAGGAATTCCGCTACTTCCTCAGAGGGCCAACACGCAGAATCGATTCGACCCCGAACCCGGACCCGGGTTGGATCACCGATAGCATCTGGAGTGAAGTTCAGTTTATATCCTCACAGCTTCCTTTCTTTAAAGGGTTTGATACTCACGTGACGCAGAATATTGCGCATTACAAGGAGCTCTTTGATAGCACCGACATTGACTTTCAAAACTTCACCTTGGCGGCCGCGTATGCGAACACGGAAAGCCTTCTCCAACGGCTCATCGTGTTTCGGTGCTTCAGCAAGGATAAAATGATACCTGCAATCCAGCAATATGTGAAGCACTACATTGGTGAGCGTTATATCATCGTCCCACCGTTTGATGTAGCGGACGCGTATAAGGATAGCGACTGCTTGTCTCCTCTGATTTTCATCAACTCGCCCGGTTCGGACCCGATGAACGATTTAATGCGCTTCGCTGAGTCGATGCGCATGCTTCGTCGTCTTGACAAAGTATCCTTAGGCCAGGGCCAGAGCCGGAAGGCCGAGGAGTATATCACCACGGGTCGGGAAAGGGGTCAGTGGGTGCTACTGCAGAACTGTCATCTCGCCATCTCATGGATGCCCACATTGGAGACGATTGTGGAGAGCTTCACTGCGGATACCGTGAATAAGGAATTTCGCCTGTGGCTGACCTCCATGCCCTGTGAGGCGTTTCCGGTGGCTGTGCTGCAAATTTCAGTTAAAATGACCAATGAGCCTCCGATGGGTCTGCGGGCGAACGTTTCTCGTTCCTATTACGCCTTCTCCGATACCGATCTCGATGTGACGCACGACCCAGCGAGTTACAAGAAGTTGGCATTCTCGCTCTGCCTCTTTCACGGTGTGATTCAGGAACGCCGTAAGTTTGGTTCACTTGGCTTCAACATCGCCTATGAGTTCAATGATTCGGATCGGAATGTGTGCCTGATGCAGCTGCAAAAGTTCATCGACCTCTATGATACCATCCCCTTTGACGTCCTTACTTTCTTGACGGGCGAGATCAACTACGGCGGGCGTGTAACGGATGACTGGGATCGGCGCTGCATGATGACCCTCATCCGGCATTACCTGAGCCCGGAGGTGCTGCAGGTGGGCTACACCTTCTCACCCTCGGGGGTCTACCGCACCCTGGAGCCGGGAACCCGTGCGCACTACTTGGAGCATCTCACCACCTGGCCGCATAATCCGAAGCCGGAGATATTCGGGCTTCATGATAACGCGGATATCACCTGTGCGCAGAACATCACCTCGGGTATCTTATCCACCGTTCTCTCCCTGATTTCACAGACAGCTGCCCCTGGGAAGGCCGGCAGCAAGGATGAGCAGCTTAGGGATATGGCGGAATCGATACAAAAGCAACTGCCTGATCCCTTTGACGAGGAGGCAGTTACTGCCAAGTACCCGACACGCTACGAGGACTCGATGAATATTGTCCTCGTTCAGGAGATTATGCGCTACAATCGCTTAATACGATTTATACACTCGAATCTAGCCGAATTTTTGAAGGCGATCCGCGGTGAGGTCCTCATATCGGCAGAACTAGAAGCTGTTGGCTCGAATTTCTTTCTCAACAGCGTCCCGGCTGCGTGGGCTTCGTTGGCGTATCCGTCCCTCAAACCCCTGTCGAGCTGGGTAGATGACTTGGTGCACCGCATCCAGTTCATTCAAACGTGGTACGACAACGGCGCACCTTCCGCGTACTGGATCGGGGGCTTTTTCTTCCCACAGGCGTTCCTCACGGGAACGTTGCAGAACTACGCGCGTCGCCTGCAGAAGGCGATAGACACCATTTCGTTTGACTTCAAAATATTGGACAGCACCGCGTCGGAGTTGGACCGCTTGAAGCGGCCTGAAAAGGGTGCCTTGGTTTACGGTCTCTTCATGGAAGGGGCTCGCTGGGACGCGAGGAGGCAGACGCTGCAGGAGTCCAGACCTAGGGAGCTGTACACGGAGATGCCCGTCATTCATTTCGATCCGGTTGTGAACTGGGTACATGATCCGACGAAGTTCGTGTGCCCTGTATACAAAACCCTCACGCGGGCAGGCACGCTGAGCACTACTGGGCACTCAACAAACTTCGTGCTGCCCATTCACATCCCCACTGAGACGGATCCTTTGCATTGGGTTGAGCGTGGGGTCGCTTGTGTTGTCTCATTAAATTTTTAGGAGCCTTTTCTTGCGTTGGTACTCGTGTTGAAGTCAAAAAAAAAATGGATGAAGTATGCATATGTTAAGAATAATTCAGGGCTTTTTATTTGACAGTTATTTGTTGTGAATAGTTCTGCATTTCAAACTTGAAACACAAGCACATATTCGCAAAGGAGGAAGTTATATCATTTTTTTAGGAATGCCGTTTTTGCTTGGCATACCAGTATGTAAATGTTTGTAAAGATATAGATCCATATTTCCTTTGATGTATAAAACTATGTTATAGTTCTCTGATAAACACCAACACAATAAACCTTTATGCAAGGACATGTGTGAGAGGGCGAAGTCACCTTGTGTTCTTGACGCTTAATCTTTTGTCTGGCGTATTGTCATTCTTTCATTTTACTCTATCTCTTTGCTAATCTTTAATCTTAATGCGTGTTTTATAGCATCCAAGTAGATCACTAGTAAGCACGTGTGTCTATAACCGCACCGATAAACTGGGGTTCTTCGATCCGGTCTCTGCCAACTAAAAGCGAAAGACATTGTTTAAAGAAAAAACACATTGAAATTATTAAGAATTAGGGAATCCTCAAAGGCAAAGCATCTGACAAAAAGTGCATAACAATAGAGGATAGGATAATGGCTCAACAATATTTGCGTACTAAATCTAAGGCTACTAAAAGTGCTGGTGCGGCGCGAAAACACGTTGGTGAAGCCAAAAAAAAGTCAACCTATACAAAAGCTAAGAATTCTGTCGAGCGGAAGGCACGTGCTAACTATATCAATACTGTTGAGGCAGCGATGGCGTCTCGCGTCCCGTCTGATCAAAGCTTTAAATTGAGAATTGTGAAGCCTGCGACACAGCAAACAAAGAAACACATGAAAAAACCTTTGACTCGTGGCCGCAAGCGCAAATAAACTTTAAATGAAACGAGGTAGAAAGGTGCTTACAATGATGGATGCTTTGTTGACCAACACATTAAGCACAACATGGGAAAATAATAATCTGCTCTAATGGCTCGACTGTGCACGGATGTGAATACTATTTGAGGAGGGTGGTAGGACTAGAAATGAATAGATTGTGAGCTTTCCCTTAAAAGGAATAAAATAACGGAATGGGGCTTTCTTTCAGGCTTTTTAACTCTCCGCACCTTAATTAATACAAAATGAATCCATCTATCCGGTTAACCGCATAATCGACGAGAAGAGGCGAAAGGGGAGGTTGACAACACTGCAGGTATTCGTGTGCTTTTTAGATGACTACCATTTATTTGCTTGACGAATCCATGTCTTGGGTGACGCGTAGACGCTTAACTATTAATTCATGGACCATGTGTTCAAAAATTATATTCTTTATTCACTGTTGTGCTAATGTTGGTCTGCCTTTTTGCTTGTGTTTTCTTGATATGTGATCTTCATTGATATATGGCTTGAATTGGTGCCTCTCTTCATTCATCAAGTTGTAATGGAACGGTATAAATTTGTTAGGGTCATTGGAAAGGGAACATATGGGATTGTTCTCGAATGCATAGATCGGGAAACTAAAGAACTTGTAGCCATAAAGTGTTTTAGGAGGGATACCTCCTCCGAGAAATATTTTTTTCAGACTATAATTCGTGATCTTCGTGTACAACAGCTTCTTGAAGGAGAGCCACACATCGTTAAGCTACTTGATGTTTTCCAGGAAGGGGAGCAGATTTATTTAGTGATGGAATACGTTCCTCATAATCTTCTAGAAATCTTAGAGAAGAATCCTAAAGGACTCGAGTTTGAGGCTCTGCGATTGCTCATCTACACCACTCTTCTCGGTGTTCGCTCTCTTCATAGGCGAGGCCTTATTCACCGAGATATAAAGCCAGAAAATATACTAGTGGAGGATGATGGTACCGCTAAATTGTGTGACTTTGGCTTTACACGCCCAGTTTTATTGGCGAACCGACAAGCCACATCTACATTAGCTACATTTCCCCCTTCAATAAAAAGGTTAGCGAACACAGAAGACGATAGTAAAAAGGGGAGTTCATCCATGAATCCGAGTTTATTTACCCTAGACGATCTTGTATATGACTGTACCGCCAACTCTATGACAGCATACGTGTCCACTCGGTGGTACCGTAGCCCTGAGATGCTGTTGGGGGTACCCCAATACGACTTTGTGGTGGATATGTGGGCAATGGGCGCAATCATGGCGGAGGCTGCGGATGGTGAACCACTACTCCCAGGCAATTCAGAGTTAGATCAGCTCTCTTTAATTCAGACTCGCGTAGGTCGATTCCCAAATTCCTACCAAGCCTTATTGCAGAAACTTGGCTCTAGCGTTCCCTATGAATGTGAAAAGACCGATTGCAGCCTTTTTTCAATATTATCTGAATGTGAATTCAGTGATTATCTACACACGCGATTTCATAGCGTTTTGGGAAAGCTTGGGGTACACCTCCTGCAGTGCCTTTTAGTAATAGATGCTTCGAAGCGAATAACAGTGGAAGAGGCCCTGCAACACCCTTTTTTCGATGGGGTCGGCGCACAATACTCGCTGCTGCTGCCGTCTTCACGGCGTGCTCCTTCCCTAGTTTCTTCAAAAGCGTCTTGCGTGAAGCTTAGCAATAATCTTATGTCAACCGACACCGCTGCAAAAGAGCCGGACAAAGACGGAATCCCACCCCTGTCCGAACTGACATCATCCGTGCCTACTTCCCATCACCATTCCAAAAAGAACAATCCAATGGAAAGGGTTAGCATCAGTGAAACGAAGCTGTTTGGCTCCGTAAAGGAAGTAACACAGGTAGACGCCGGCTCTCTAAATCAGCTCAAGAGGCGCATGATACTAGTCCATGACTCTAAGTTTAAGAAGCACGAACCGAATCTAAAATTTCTTATCCCACAGTTAAGAGCACCGCACGACGATACGATGTCTAAGCGGCGCCTTGGAAACGATTTTGAAAGGTCAAGAGGAAAAAATAGAGTAAAAAACTCCACACAGCCCACCAACTCTGTGTCGTTTTCCACTTCTGATCGTCGGTCTACTTCAAGGAAAGCCTTAAAAATGCTAATTGAGGCTACAACCAAAATGTCATCGATGTGGCAGAACACCAAACGTAATGGGGTTGGCGCAGGTGCCACCCATACCACCCTTAGCGACCACAACGAGAATCCCGAAAGCATACTGATTTGCGGCCCATCGCATGCGAAGGACATTCAAAAGGTTGAATCCAATGAGAGGATTTTCAGCTCAAACTGTTGGGATGACTCCTCCGCCCCGCACAATGACACCTTGTCTGGAAAACTCAATTCACGCCCGCGACATGGCAAGCGCTCTGGTTCGAAAGGCTCACACGGCCAACCGGAGGGCTGCACAACCCCACTCCTGCGCTGTCCCTCCACGAGGGCGCGGCACCCCCCCTTCAGGCGATTAGGGACAAACACGCAATCCCAGTACTTCACGTCCGCACAGAGATGGGGGCCCACGCAGGATTCCTCCCGGTCTCAGAAGCCCAAGGCCCACCCAAACCTGCGAAAGGAAGATCCTCCCCTTCGTGACACGGTGCCCGCTGTGACATCTGGGGAGCGGACGAAACCGGCTGGGCCCCCCCAGGAGAGACGGGACGGGCCAGGAGGGGCTTCCATTCGGCGGTATCGAAGACATTCCTCGCCGGTGGGCCGGCCGACCCGTACGCAGAGCTCCGAGAAGAACAGCGTCGGCCGCGGTGCGCCAGGGCAGCGGGTGGGGGCGACAGAGGACTCAACACACCACAACCCCCCAACGCGAACCCCGTTGCTATTCTTCCGGATGAAGAAAAGCTCTACTACTTTGGATGGACCAGTGGTAGGAGGGTATTTAGGTTCGACAAATACACGTGGAGTGGCTTCTCTCGGGCGAGGCGTGCCGTCGACGCCGCGTCTGATGCCCATTACTTCGCATCTACCGCCAGCTGTGCTTTCCTCGCGTAAGGGTCCCAGCCCTGCCTCAGGTAATCCATAACTACCCACACCCTTGTCTTTCCTCCTTTTTCCTTCCTTCTTCTCCCCTTCCCCTCCCTCCCCGCTTTCTATCACCGCAAAGTGGCCTCCAACAGGAGAATATCTCAGTGATTTTCAGCTCCCTCGCCTTCTTTCTAAGGGGGGGGGGGGGGGGAGGGGATCTTTTTGGGTCCGTGAGTGTTTATTTTGGATTACTTTTGAAAATGAAATTGTGTATTGATACTAAACAGCAAGTGCGAACACCCATTTATTCTGAGGACTTTGTATAATTTTCGGTTTATATTCTCCATATCACAGCAGTAATTCACCTCTCCTCTCTTTATTTGAGTTGGAAGCCTTACCTCTTTTCCCATTTATAGCATTATTATAATCCTCAAAATGAAACTATTGTATCTAGTAGTAATTTTAATTCCGATAAATTTTCATATTCTTTCCTTTTAATTAACGATCAATGCTTTTTTCCATTTATTGCTATTTATTGCTTAAGAGTTGCTATATAGGATAACCGAATTTTTCAATGTTTTGTTGATTTTAATGGGTCAAATATGCTATATGTATCCTTATGTACATGTAGCAACTAATAAGAGGGCGTAAAAATGCTGACATTTATACCTGGATGAGGCTCGTTGTAAAGTATGCATAAAAGTCCAGCATGCGTTTTTTTACATTGTGTGATCTGATTGCTACTCCGTTAAAGAAAGGAAATGGAACGTTTTGAAAGGAAAATATTTTTTGCTTTATTTCCACATTTACCTTTGAAAGTGTTGTAAAAATTAGCATCTTATGTCTTTTACTTTTACTCTACTTGTTGAACCATTAATGAGATCCTTTCGACATGTGATGCAAAGAACATCAAACTGAAATTCTAAGGCTTACGAACCGCACTATTGTATGCATGTATATATATATATTTCTGGGCAGCTTACGATAATAGTGGTGGTTTCTTCTTATATTTTATTTGTCTTGGTTGACATTTTTCACTCATAGGTGGAACGTGTAACCCCAGGACATTTTTTCCGTCTGTAGGGCCACCCTTCCTTACAAATTAACCGCGCGTGAGGACACTTATGAGATGTGCGATTGGTCTTCTATAGAGGAGGCTGAGGCGTTCTTGCTGAGCACCTGTCATTTTTATCCTGGGCTCTGTGGCAATACTCAACCAGAAACCTGCGATGGTCCATGGCGGGCATATTCACAGCTGCAGGCGCTTCGCCGATATTTCTGTTTTGAGGATGCGTCTTTTTTGCCTTCAAAAATTGACAAGAGAGGACCGTTTCATTTATCACTGCAGCAGTTGCTATCTGCCAGACTCTCGTTTTGCCGAGATACGGCCATGCGGGCCTTCACTCGAGTCGAGCACGTGGCTCCCGACAGCTCGGATGAAGCTCCCACAACAGCAGGAGGTGGGAGTCAAAGTCTTTCGAAGCCCCTTCAGTTGCTAAAAGCTACCATAGAACGTGTTCATAACGAGCAGCATAAAACATTTGTGTGTGGAGTGTGGAACAAAATAGAAGTGCCCGACAGTCTTGTAAAGGGCCCTTCCGCAAAAAGAGAGCTCTATCGCAGCCCATGGAGCGGACGCTATCAATTACCTCTTACTTTCCTTGAGGACCTCCGTTCTCGTGTGAGCGAGGAAACGCTTCGATCTGAAATAGAGGCCGAAGATCGTATACTAAGCCAGCATATCGAGCAGCTGCTACCGAATGATAGCACGGGATCCTTTTCACGCACGTTGGAGCGTCAGCTCAACGAAATTTTGCTAAAGTACATGAATGTCCATGCACCGTTGCTTGAATTCTGTGAAGTTCATATTTTATCCGCCTCGTCGGTGGGCAAGCCTTTCGGCGTTGCCGCGACGGCATTTGTGCGTGAGGTAGCGTCGGAATACTTCCCTCACTCAGAGACTTGGGATGTGGAGGCCTCCTTCACCTCGGTTCGTGCAGATTTAGAAGTTGTGGTGGTGACCCTCAGCGAGCAGTTACCAACATCGCCACCAGGTCATGCAATTCAACGCTTTGTAACAGGCCACGTCTTTCATCTTAGCTGGGATCCATCGAGTGGCGAAGATGTGGTTGCTATTCGCCATGAATTCGGGGTTCTGATATGGCAACAGGCCCCTGCTGCTCCGCTGGCCACGGATGCACAACCGACGGCAACGCTCCAGCTATACCACCAGTGCACTTTTTTGGTCGATACAAAGCCCGCGTCAACCTTCCGGCGGGCTCCCCACACGAGGGAATCTGAGAAATCGCGGGTTGATACCGATACGGTGTGGTGTTCGTCTGCCTTGAGTCCGTCTCTTGTAGCGCACTACCTTATTGGACGAGTAAGAACGGTAGAAAACACTATCAAGAACGTCGTTGTTGGACCTTGTATCCGATGCACAGTTCGTGAAATCAGGGGTCAGACTTCTCCATTGGAGCATAAACTCGTGGAAGAAGCATGTACAACACTTACAAAAGAGAAAACGGATGACAGAGACCCTACGCCTATTCAATAGTTAAATTCGTTGATACTGGAGAGAACCTTTTCCTTTCCCCAGAAGAGGAGAAAAACGGCAAGACAGTTGTACTTATCTTTCCCTGCTGTTTGTTTGTTTGTTTGCCTTTAAAATGGTACGGTTGACTTTGTCACAAACCTTTCTTTCTGTTGCCTCTTCGGATCCACTTCTGATCCTTTAGATCATTCGCCAGATTATTATTTTTTTTTGGACAAATTCTTCCTCTGTAGCTTCTGCTATTTATTGTTAGTTTTCTTCCCTCCAAAAAACATGTTACATGATCGAAAGGCGCATTTTTCGCAGTTGAAAAATGCATTTCCACAAGCAAGCATTGTAAAGGATACTCCATCGTCTATGCTTATTGACGTTCGAGACGAGGTGCGCTTAGATCCTTGGAACAGTTACTCGATATCGCTCTTAGTTGAACTTCCCGGTTCTTTTCCGCAAACTCCGCCGAGGGTTATTATGCCGTATTGCTTTCACGAGGTACCCATCACCACACTCAGAGGGGGGGATCCAGAGAAGCCGAAATGGGATCCGGAGACGTCGTCGTTAGTTCAGAGCCTGCGGAATGCGTTCGAGAATATGATGGCCTACTGGGGCCCCGTCAAGCCGCCGACGATAGCAAGCGTGACCGAACAGCTCAGTCAAGAAACGGATCGCCTGCTCGAGGACCTTAACGGAAATTCGAACTGTCTCGATGCCTACTGCTATCAGTTCCCTATTATGAAGCAGATACGCAAAGTGAGCATTCAGACCGTCAATGAAGTGGAATCATTGGCTAACGAGAACTGCAAGCTCCATTCGGAGGTTAATTTACTCCTTAACGAAGTTACAACTCAACAAAAAAAACTCTCGCTAGAGATGATGAAACTCCAGGAGGCGGATCAGAACAAATTAATCATCTCCATTTGTACCCCAGAGGCCTTGATCCAGACTTTGGAGGCTGATTTGCGTAAGCTACACGAGCAAAGCCGTGAGATCGGCAAAGTGGCGCTTAATGCGTACGGGAGCGATAAGAAGGTTTTTGAAGAAGCCTTTGAGAAATACAAGGCGACGTCTAAGAAAATCCATGAAATCGATCTGAAACTGCGAGCTTACCGAGCTTCGAAGGACTAGTATCTTTTACTCACACCGTCATGATCTGAAGTAGCAAGAAAGTTTGTGAGTATACATGAATACATGCAACCACCACTTAAGGAGGGAGAGAGGATAAAGAGATCTTTTGTACAACCTACTTTTGACTATAGTGCAGTGAATCAAATATATTTGCTTATCAGCGTCCTGTGAATGACTTTTTTAGTCTCCTTTTATGTGCAGAAAATAAAACCTTCACAAGGAAAGGGTACTGTAACTCTTTGCCTAGTAGTCTTTGTTGCAGTGCTTTTCTATTTTGAGGATGAAACAGATGAAGAAGATGAGGCGTTTTTTATATATGTTTTCTTCCACTCGTCGTCATGAAAATCTCTTTAGTATATCGAACGTTTTTTTCTTAACGAGAAGAAAATAATCAAAGCTAGTTATTTTAAAACGTACAACTATGTCTAACGACACGGGCGTTGGTTCCAGATCCTCCTCACAGTCATTTTCTGCGGGGGCAAGTAAGGAGCAGCCTCAGGTATGCCTCAAATGTCATGCGGTGCCCGCAGAGTACGAGACAAACTCCTGCCATCATCTCTGTTTTTGCAGGGCCTGCGCCATGAAATGCGCAACGGGAGGACGGTGCAAGACGTGCAATCAGTTGTACAGTGGATTGACAAGGGTTTGCTGAGCAAAAAAATCTAAAATATTGGCCTTGTGTTCTTTGGTTTTCCCTGGTTTGTGGTTGCCGCCTTACACGTTTCCTTTCCTCACCTTGTATTTTATGCACAAAACAGACGAAGGAAATAGTGGTAATAAAGGATCCCTAGATGGCTTGATGAGACTGTTGCGATGATTATATGTATATCACATTTGATGATATAGGGTTGAACCTGCATTCTTTGTCATCCTTTTTCTGACGCAAGGATAGAGAAAGATTAACGATTGTATTCATCAGCAAATAAAATGTTTTTTTTTTCGGGTTGTGGAGGTCTTGCAGGAGTGTCTGCACCGAAGTATGTTTGCATGGACTATCGTATGATTGCTGAGTTCGATTACCATAGGTTGAAAAACATTTCTTTATTTGAGCAAAATTGGTACATTGCCATTATCAAATTTAAAGCTTCAATTTCGTCTCATTTTGAACTTCAGTTTTCCCCTATTCATTTATGATAAGCATTTCAAATGCGTAAGTGATCTCTCTGATGGTAATTTCACTAGGCGAAAAATTCCTCCTATTTGTCTGCTCACTTGCTTATTATTTTATCTTATATATATATATATATATACGTCTTATAACTTTTAGCCAAACACACGCGTTGCGTGAACTGACTACAGCAAAAAAGTATTCTAGGCTGTTTAATTTGTGGTGTTATTAGCATTTTAGATTTCGATTTCTTTTCGTAGAATACACAAACGCGCAGGAGCACGATGCAAACCAGAGCCAAGAAGGGAAGACGTGGGCGCTCCGCCGCTCCTCCCGCAGCGGAGGAAATCACTGAGGTGGAGGAGAGCCAACAAGGGGATAAAGTGATGGATGCCGCGATGACGTCCATCATGGATGAACAGCCAAAGGAGATGCTCGATGCGTCGAACTCCTCCGGCTTTCGGGTGGTTCAGATACTCGAGAACTACGGCATCGCCGGATCGGATATCAAAAAGCTGATGGAGCACGGTTTCTACACCGTCGAGTCCGTCGCCTACGCGCCGAAGAAGAACATCCTCGCGGTGAAAGGCATCAGCGAAGGGAAGGCGGAGAAGATCATGGCGGAGTGCGCGAAGCTCGTTCCGATGGGCTTCACCTCCGCCGTCGCTTACCATGAGGCGAGGAAGGAAATCGTGATGGTGACGACGGGAAGCCGTGAGGTGGATAAACTCCTCGGCGGGGGCGTCGAAACGGGGAGTATCACGGAGCTCTTTGGCGAGTTCCGCACCGGGAAGTCGCAGCTCTGCCACACCCTCTGCGTGACCTGTCAGCTGCCTATTTCGCAGGGTGGGGCGGAGGGGATGGCGCTTTACATCGATACGGAGGGGACCTTTCGCCCGGAGCGGCTCGTGGCCGTCGCCGAACGGTATAAACTCGATCCACAAGACGTCCTCGCGAACGTCGCCTGCGCCCGCGCGTTTAACACGGATCACCAGCAGCAGCTTCTCCTGCAGGCCTCCGCGATGATGGCGGAGAATCGCTTCGCGTTGATCATCGTGGACTCCGCCACGGCGCTGTATCGGACGGATTACAGCGGGCGAAACGAGCTCGCCGCGCGACAGATGCACCTCGGCAAATTTCTCCGTTCCCTTCACAACCTCGCGGAGGAATATGGGGTGGCGGTGGTAGTAACGAATCAGGTCGTGGCGAATGTCGACGGCTCGGCGCAGATGTATCAGGCGGATTCGAAGAAACCGATTGGGGGGCATATCATGGCGCACGCCTCGACGACGCGGCTGAGCTTGCGAAAAGGCCGTGGCGAGCAGCGGATTATGAAGGTGTACGACTCTCCATGCCTCGCCGAGGCGGAGGCGATTTTTGGCATCTACGAGGACGGTGTTGGGGATGCGCGGGATTGATTGGGTGGTAGAAAAAAAGAAAAACAAAGTCATTCACTAGAGGGCTAATTCGGAGAGGGTCAATTGGCGTTTAGAACGTTTAGCCTGCCTCTCCCCTCACCTCCCATCTTCCTCTTTTATTCTTGCGTGTGGGCACCCCTGCATTGTTGCGACAGTGCACCATTTTGTAGCCTTATTTTCTATCTTTATCTAAAGCTTAACAAGCCCGTGGATCTTTGCTTATTCGTTTCCATTGGAAACGTGGTTGTTTAGGGAAAAGGAGTATTATTTGCGACACTTCAGCCGCTTTTACCTGTACACAGTTGTTGAATTCATAATTATTTCCTTTTAGATATATTTTCCTTGTGGTAACATAAAACCTTCGCTCAGAAAGACGTCCTTCACGGATCCCCTTCTTGAGGAAAACAAGACGTTTTCCATTCTGTTTAACCTGCTTTCTAGTAATATGAATTAGATAACATTTAGGGAAGGGTCAATGCGGAGTGATTTCGCATCAGGGAAAAAATAAATAAATAGAGGCTATTTATGTGTGTGCTCATAAATAAGGTGTCTATGCATTGCACCATGTGTGGGAATAGTTTGCCCGATGGCTCTTACGAACAACGACTAAAGAGAGAATAGAATTCCCAAAATGGAAAGCATACTCTCTCCGTTAGAGTGCTTTTGCTGCGACGCGTTTTGTATGCACCCTATTCCTTTTTTTCGCATTTTTTTTAGCCTGTGCGTGTGTATTGGGGGATTATGCGTGCTATTTTGTTCTTTTGGGTTCTGTTCTTCTACCTTTTGGCTGCAACTTCATAGATAAAGGACATACTAGACTTGTGCACCTAATAAAGGAAAGATGACGACTAAACGCCGCAATCATGGTCGCGCGAAGCCGCCGCACAGCCGTGGGCGTGTAAAGCCGGTGCACTGCTTCAACTGCGGTCGTCTGACGCCGAAGGATAAGGCGGTTGGCCGCTTTGTCGTGCGTCGGATGATGGACGCCGCCTCCGCGCGGGATGTGGCGGAGGCCTCTCCGGTCTACGGGGCGGGCTTCCCGATGCCGAAGCTCTACATGAAGCAGCGCTTCTGCATTGCGTGTGCGATTCACAGCCGAACCGTGCGTGCGCGCCCGGTGGAGAAGCGAAAGATCCGTTTCACCAACAAGGTTCCCTACCGCCCGGCCGTCAAGAAGAACTAGTGTTGCTTTACCAATAAACTGTTATTTTTTTAGTTCCGTTGGGAATGTCCTTTATTTAGAAAAGTAAAAGGACCGGACGATCCACGTCGTTCGGACTTTTTACGAAAAATACTAATCCCATGTGGCCATGTGTATGAGCCAAAAAAGGTGTGTGTGGGGGGGGGGGGGGGGGTTATGTTTTCTCGATGGAATGCCACCAACTATGAGGTTTGTGCTCTTTTTTCCTTTTGTTTATCTTTAAAGCTATTGTTCGACAAAGCGACTGACGTGGCCGACCGATTCACTGGCCCCTTCCCTCGTCGTCCTGAAGAACCTCCAGCGAAGGGAGGCTTGAGAATAAACTAATAACCTAGAACGCGATGACCAGCATTGAGCAGCTTCAGATATGTGGGATCCGCAGCTTTGACCCCTCTCCCAACAATAGACAGGTAATCTTTTTCCAGAAGCCCCTGACGGTGATTCTGGGCAAGAATGGGGCCGGCAAGACGACCATTATTGAGGCGCTTTTAAACGCCTGCACAGGTGTCATGCCGCCCGGCAGTGGGACGGAGAAAAGTTCCTTTGTCTACGACCCCAAAGTGATCGGGGAGAGCGAGGTGAAGGCGCAGCTTCGCCTGATTTTCACGGGAAAAGGTGGGAAGGTAATGCAGGTGATTCGCTCCTTTCAGACGGCCTATAATCGCGGCCGTGCGGCCTTCACGACGCTGGATAACACCCTCGCTTATCAGGATCCCGCGACGGGCAAGGTCGTCTCGCAGACGTATCGCGCGAGCGATGTGGACCGTGTGGTGCCGGAGATGTTAGGGGTCTCCGCCGCCGTTCTCGAGCACGTGATCTTCTGCCATCAGGAGGAGTGCAACTGGCCCTTGGCCCCGCCGAAGGACGTGAAGCGGATCTTCGACGACATCTTCGCGGCCACGCGGTACGTCCTCGCGCTGGA